AAATAACATCAACTCATTTTGTTAACCTCAAAAATTAACTTTTCCTCTCTTAATTATGCAGATACCACACAGCATATTCTCATTGATATCAAACATACATAGAATGTTATCTGTCTTAAATCAAAATGAACTTATGCTTTCACAAAGCAATGGTTTCCACCAATAACGACAGTCTCAATATCAAACAAGAAGGATCATAACTGCTGCCAGAACACAGACCTTTTTAATGCAGACAAAGTTCTAAGTTACTGTTAGTTAATTCAGAATATAAAATAGTTATCTCTTAAGACCATCTGAAATAAATATCTGTAAAGACAGTAAGTCTTGTCACTTTGCAGAGGTGGAAAATAATGTCAGAGCTAGTTTAAGTAAGTTGTTCTGCTGGCAACAAACCTACAAAAAAGACTGATTTTCACTCTTGCACATTTCTGCTTTACAATCCCTGCATTATCATAATGCCACCACATGTACCTTGATTTACGCCAGTTCTCACCCCCACCCCCTCAACAATTTTCCCCACTGGCTCCATCAACTTGTAATTGTGACTTGAAAGAGGCAGTCATAACTGTGAGAACAGTCACTTTTTGGCACAAAGAACAAGTAACTTGAGCTCACCAGAGTTCATTATTCCCCTACTTTTAATGATGTGTACCACCCCCTACTTTTGAAAAACACGTGTTGTGTTTGTCAAAGGAATAAAGAGACACTAAAGTTCCTACACATAGTCTGGAGTTCCTAGTCTAAAGTACTGTTTCTGATCAAGGGGAAAAAATAAAAGGCAGAGATGGGAAAAGAAAATAGTATCATTGAAGAACCCACTGCTGGTTTATTTGTTCCTATAATGCTGGCTCTCCGATATGATGGCACGACTTCASGTCTCTGCAAACTTCAATCAAACATTAAGGCTTTCAGTCCAACTAGTTCTCACCACAATGTGTATTACAGTTTCATATTCTGTTGATTTAAATATAGATGCACTTCTTCAGTAAAATTGACTCGAGTAAAGCTAATTTTCRATCAGTCAATGAGGTAGCATCACCAGCAGCAACTGAGGTAAGCATGGGGTGAGCACTAGACCAAGCGGTACAGGAAGTTACCCAAGCTCAGGGATTCCTGAGCAATAGCTCAGGGCTTCATCTCCACCTGGAAGCCTTGGTGAACCAATCAAGCTGGGGGATGAACAGACCAAGAGCAGTCCTGGCCAGAAGGACTTGGGGGTGCTGTGGGTGAGAGGCTGGACATGACCCGGCCATGGCACTGCCAGCCCAGAGAGCCAAACGTGTCCTGTGCTGCATCCAAAGCAGCGTGGGCAGCAGGGGAGGGAGGGGATTGTGCCCCTCTGCTCTGCTCTGCTCTGCTGAGACCCCACCTGGAACACTGCACCCAGCTCGGGGGACCCAGAACAGGAAGGACAGGGAACTGTTGGGAGAGAGTCGGGAAGGAAGCCATCAAGATGATCAGAAGGATGAAGAACCTCATATAAGAAGAAAGGCTGAGAAAACTGGGATTGTTCAGCCTGGAGAAGACTTTGGGGTGACCTAACTGCAGCCTTCGAGTATCTGAAGGTAGTTTACAAGAAAGTGAGGGATTTTTTACACAAGCATGCACTRACAGGACAAGGGGGATGGCTTCAAAGTGAAAGATAGGATATTTAGTTTAGATATTACAAGGAAATTCTTTGCTGTAAGGGTGGTGAAGCATTAGAACAAGTTGCTCACAGAAGCTGTGGCTGCCCCAACCCTGGAAGTGTTCAAGGCCAGTTTGGATGGAGCTCTGAGCAACCAGGTCTAGTGGAAGGTGTCCCTGTCCACAGAAGGGAAGCCAGAACAAAATGACCTCTAAGGTGCCTTCCAACCCAAACCATTCTATGATTTTATGAATTTCAATAAAAGCAAGTTTTCTCTAGGATCTTAGAGCAATTCTAGGAAAAAAAACTGCTATTTATATTGTTTCTTGAGTTAGCAATGAAACTGTGTAACTTATCACAACAGATAAGATTGCTTTCAACACAGAATAACGTGCTTCTTTTTTCTCTTTTACAGCATGTAAGACTTTCACATACTAGCTAAACTTGCAGTTTAATACAACAAGCTCGTATATTAAAAGGGGAGGTATAAGGAATACAAAACTAAGCTCACTTCAAGACAGAGCTTCCAAATAAGTCTTGTACAAGTTAGAAGACATAGGTAGCTTCTGCCTGGCTTCTAATCTACTGCAGTCAAACTTCCCCGAGAAGGTTTCCCTCTACATTTCCTTWAAATGTGTCAGAAGACCTAACCCAGAAAATCGGAGAAGTTTCAAACATCATTGAACATCTTGGTAGCAACAGCAAAAAGAGACCAGAGTTTAGCTTAATAAACAGTCAGGAATGCTGACAATCTTAAATCACCTGGATTTTCAAACTCTACTACCGAAACAACCTTAGTAACTCTAATTTCACACATGTGCCAAAAAGCAAGAGTTTCWAAGCAAAAAGTAGAGAAAATGTTTCTGTTATAACATGCAAGATACCCTTATATTTTCATGTAAGCTGGTATCGTAACTTAAGACAGTAGCTGTAGAGTAAAACGCTATCAACATACATGCTTTTCAAAACATCCTATCCACATGCACTTTTTAGMTTAGAGCTTAGCAGCTCCACTTAGTTTCAATGGAAATGCCTCAGCTTGTCACAGTGATGCCCAGAGAGTTCAGGAACCTACCCTGGAACTACTTCAGTCCTAAGAGTTCATTACATGACAAAACCTAAAAAGGCCATGCCACCTAGATTAAATGGCCATACAGGAAAAAAGAAATGAAAGTTATTAAAGTGTAGAATAGTTCTTGATGAGAAAACGTACCTGTATCTCAAATATAACGCTTTGAGATGACCTCCTCTAAATCACATAGGTAGACAGGAGATGTAAGAGCAGGACAGCTGCAGTGACTACAAGCTGTACTTYACAGTCTCTTAGTAGCAAAAATCTTTCATACCACAGTAATTAATTTCTGCCATTCTTGGCATTAGTACTAGGATAGGATAATTACAAAATCTAAGTCGGCTTTATTACAACATTTACAAGTGTTCAGTCTTGATTTTCTATGGTGACATCAGAGTAACAAGATCAAACCAGCCAGATCGGCCCACAGAAAGAAATCCAATAGATTCTCCTCAAAATGTAATTTATGAAATATTTCATTACCAAGCTTTCTGTCACAGTTCTAGGGATCTACGCATCCCTAGAAAACCACTTSACTGTCTTCTAATGCATCCTACATRTTTGACCATGTTTGTTTTTGCGCAACTTCTGTATCCCTGAGCACATTATAAAATGTCTACAAGCATAGCTTCAAAAGAAATAGTAAAGCTTCTGAAAGGGTACAAAGTTTTTGTTTCTATTCACTATGTTACCAATGAATTTCATGAATTGCAGAGCACCTTTATGAATACATGATGAGTATTACAGTTGAGATTCTCATCTAATTAGCCACTAAAAGGATGAACACAAAAATTCACAAGTATCTGACCCAAAAATAACCAATAATAATTTTTAAACAGCACACCACCTAGTACTAAGATGACTCATAACAACATATGTAGCATATGTTTAATTGTTCATTCTGTATAAATATATATGTATAAAACCAATCTAGAATGGAGGACACATAGATGGGATGCTCCTTAAACAAAAAAGCTCATCTCAACGTTTWGGGTTTTTTTCGGAAGTCAAAGCTTTTCATCCACAACCTTAATTATTCTGTGAAATTCTGGAAGAAAATATGCRGTGTTATTTCGAAAGATACCAAAGAAAATATTTTCAGAACATTCCAGAGCATGTAGTGGTAATAAACCAGAATTTCTTGAACTGGTTTCCCAGAGGCATGCATTTTGTACAGAAAGCAGGAAGGAGCTAAACAAATTTGACAGAAAACATGCATAGACTAACAGTTTTGAAACCAAAAAAAAAAAAAAAAAAAAAAAAAAAAAAAAAAAAAAAAAAAAAAAAAAAAAAAAAAAAAAAAAAAAAGCGAAAAAAGAAAATATTTTATGTGAAGTAACAAAAGAACATCCAAGCACTTGATAACCCACAATAAGCAAACCTCCTGTGAGCCTTATTAACTTTGGGACATGCAAAACTTTTCACACAGGACAATGAACCTACACCTTCAGACTAAAAGCGACCAATTTAAAAGGCCAAATGTGGCAACACCACAACTTAATAGAACTCAGTGGTTTACAAAACTCTCCAAGTTTGTTAATACCAAACATATACATGTGTGTGTGTTTGCCCATATATGCACGTTTATTCATAGACTTTAAAACAATTCAAGCTTCTATACTTTATCTACAAGTAACAGTTCATTTCCTATTTCTCTCAACTTCAAATCCCAGATACACAGTACTGGAGCCACATACCTGCACGGCTGAAGTCGCACACCCAAGGGACGTGTCCCCTCTATCTCCAGCTTACTGAAAACGCCATCTTCACCCCTCCACTCACAGAGACCCTTTCTCCCAAAGCCGTGAGGCTTTGGCCCCTGCCCAGGCCCCTCCACAAAACCAGCAACTCCTCCCGAGAGTAGGAACGGGTGGGGCGGGGGGTGTCGGGCTTTCCTGTACCYCAGCAGCCAAGAGCCACCTTCCCCCGGGGCGGGCACAGGCAGCAGGACAGAGACAGACGCTCCCCGGACCCACGGGGATTCCCTGACAGTTTCGGGAAAGGCACCCCACAGAACCCCGACCCCGCCGGTGACCACCCCACGCCCGCCCCGAAAGTTCAAGCGCAGMCCCCCCAGCCCCCGGCCCGCTCCTCCGCAGCCCCCACCCCGTCGGGGCGGAGAAGATCCTCGCCCCACACCCTCCCACCCCCTCCCCTCACCCCGCAGCCCCCACCGCAAATACCCCGCAGACAGACGGGGGGGCGGCGGGCCCGCCCCGCCTCCGAGCCCCTCGGCTGCCCTCCAGCCCCTCGGCGGGGCAAGGCCGGGACCCCCGCGCCCCACCCCGGCCCCGCACTGACCTGACGGGGGGGGGGCGCGGCCGCCGCTCGGGGCTACAGCGGGGGCTCCCCCCGCCGCCGCCGACCCTCCGCTCCCCGGCCCGTCCTTCTCCGGGCGCCACCGCAGGGCAGAGAGCAGAGGAGTCGGAAACGCGAGGCGGCGGGAAACACCGGCCCCTCTTCCCCTTCCCAAGAAAATTTAAAAAGAAAAAGAGGGGGATTTAAAGGGCTCGGCCCGGAGTTTAAAACAAAGAGGCGGAAATAGCCGAGCGCGGCCCGAGCGGAGCCGAGCGGGGGCGCCGCGCTCGCGGCGCATGCGCGCGGGGCGCTCACCCGGGCACGGTGCCGGCCACCCCCTCCTTCCCTCCCCCGGGCAGCGGGGCCGCCGAAAGGGGGTCGGGCAGCCCCSGCCAGGCCTGGGCCCGAGCCATGGYCCGGTCACACAACCGCAGAGTATGCCGACTTGGAAGGGACCCACCAGGATCATCCAGTCCAACTCCTATCCCTGTGCAGGACACCCCTGAGAATCACGCCATGTGCCTGAGAGCATTGTCCAAACGCTTCTCGAGTTCTGTGAGGCTTGCTGCTGTGATCACTTCCCTGGGGAGCCTGTTTCCTCTGGGTGAAGATCCTTCTCCTAATTCCTAACCTAAACATCCTCTGACACAACTTCAGGCCATTCCCTCGGGTCTGTCACTGGGCACCCAGACACAAGATCAGTGCTTGCTGTCTGCTTCCCCTGGTGAGGATGCTGAAAACGCCAATGTCCCCTCAGCTTCCTACAGACCAAGTGACCTGAGCCACTCCTTAAATGGCTTCTCTCCTCAAGGCCCTTAACTGTCTTAGTTGTCCTCCTTTGGATGCTCTTTAATGGCTTAATGTCTTTCTTACCTTGTGGGGCCCAGAACTGTACATAGCACTTGAAGTGAAGCCACACCGGCATAGAGTAGAAGTAGGAAATCCCCGGGTGACCAGCCTCAAAAAATCCATACAACTAGTGAGCAGGAAGGTGAGGATTGGCGAAGGCAGTTGGCTTCTAGGCAGATGTGCCTCTGCATCACTCCCAGCCGCCTCTTCTCTCAGAAAGGTTTTCTTCTAAAGCACACAGGTGTCTTGTCAACTGATCAGAGTGGAAACTTGAGTAGGAGCTGGGTGGAAGAGGAAACTTGAATAGGAGTGCTGGTGGCAAGGCACATGGGTATCAAACTGTGGATGGTTCAAAACCCCCCCAATTGATGAAATTACAAAGATTCTGTTTTCCTGAGGGTGTGAAGTCTTAGGTCAAAGAGCATGCATAAAGTTTGGGAAGTCCATGCCAGGTCCAAGTTTGTACCAAACAGCTGAATGGTTAACTTGCAAAGACAACTACTTAAAAATTCACCTATCCAAAGACTAAAGACACCAAAACAATCTTTATATTCCCAATTATGCATATATTTTTAATGTAATCCTTTAAAATACCTACATATTTCCTTTTCTCTTTCTTCCTTTCCATCAAAGAATGAGCCATGAGACAGTCTTCCACCTTGTCTAAAAATGCCATTGGAAATGAGCTATCTGATATGGCACAAGCTCTCCATGTCCAACGAACTACTGAGCTTTTATTGTGTGCCAAGACTTCAGGGTCTGTGCTTGGCTCTGGGAGCTATGTTTTCCAGATGCTAGGCCTGAGTTAATGGAAAGTATGTCAGCATTTTAGATTTGCTTTGTTTCAGTTCAAGGGTTATATAGTTACATGAGTGCATCTTGTCTATCTGAAATATAAATTCTGTTTCCAGTTTAACCACAAATTACTCTGCATGGGCCTTTGTTGTTTGCTGTAGAATGTAATGGGGCCTTCTATCTGACTCCTGGAATCAGGGTTCAAATAGCCAGAAGCAAAAGTAACAAACTGTAAGAATGTGCATGAAATTATAAACTGTATGCCTGCTTTTCTTGCTTCTTTGGTTGTTTTTTTCCTAGTGCATCCAAACAAACATTGCAGATTTGGAAATCATTAAGGCCTATGTGTGTTGACTCTCTCTTATGACAATTTTTTTAGAAGATGGCACCTTAAGCAGTTGTGGCCATGCCTACTCAAACAATCTACTGTAATATACCCATTATGACAAGATTTGTGACCCTCAGAGAGCTCAGGTAATGGTTTGCTCTCCTCTCAACCTCATCACCTAACATCAGTTCTAATTCCTTTGGCACTACTATTGAAGCATTTGATAGCCATAAGTGATGTGTCTGAAATATAAGCATAGCTAGTGACTACAGTATCTAATATCACAACTGCATACTAGAGTGCCTTTTCCAAACTACAACACCTGATATTAGCAGAAAAGTGAAACTTTTTGTTTGCATTGCAGTCAGTGAGCTGTGGTCAAGCTACAGAAGTTGGAAAGTGACTTGAGGAGAACTGGAAAATGTATTTAAAGGATTCTTGCAATTAGTCTTACATGCTTTAGTCTTCGCAGTTTTCAACCAAATAAGAGCACGATCCGAGCACGGGTAAATTGATTCTCTAACTTCCAGAAACATGTATTTGCTACCTAAAACGATTCATGGAAGAGACTCTATCTGAGACCTCTTGACAGAAAAAAAACCCCTGAAATATTTCAGGTAAAAGAAGTTTTTCATCTCTTTTAGAAAGGCCATCTAACAATGAAAAGGAACTGGTCAGCATGGGCACTTTAATAGTAATGGCATAAACAGAGAAATTACTAGAAATCAAACGTAGCAGCACATTTTCATAAACAAAGCAGAAAAGTAGCACATAAAATGAATAAAGTGCAAAGTAGACAAATAAAGGACAAAATTACTCTAATTTAAGACTACCTATGATAAAGTGTTTAGAAACAGCAACATTTAGAAATAATACTTCCAGAAATGTCTCAGAGCTACATCAATTCTGTAGCTCTGTGAACCAGACTGTTTGCACCAGTAAGTTCTGAGAGAGCCTGTTGATACCACTGCAAGGCTACTCCCCAACTATTACCTTTTTGAGGTCATGGTGACCAGGCAAGTCCCCCAGTACTGGAGAACAGTAAATATTTCACCTGTGTTTGAAAACAGTAAGAAAGGTAAATCAGAGTACTACAGCTTCACTTTGTGAAGAAAATTAAGAAAATCATGGTGCAAGCAAAGATCTCAGAGCTAGGCTCAAACATCTCACAGCCTAAGACCAAAGAACTCAAGCATTTACCAGCTTTTTTTTCTTACACATAGGCACAAATTATTTAAGTACCCTATTCTAATGGTTAAACCTGTAAGGTCTGGACATTATCACAACACACACACAGAATGTATGAAATTGGAAGGGGCCTTTGGACTCAGGACAGTCTCTCTACCCAAAGGATGATAAGGTGGAGCAGCAGTGTTGCTTCTTCAGTTATCACCAGACTGAGCACTGGTATGCTTACACTAGGTTCTGCATGGTCATTCTGAAAACTTCCTAAATAACTTCATTCTTGCCTAGGAGTCACTGGGAAAAATTTTTTGAATATCAGTCTCACCACAGTTGCATTTTAGCTTCAGAGTTGTGGTCTATCAATCCTCTGGTTTAAAAATAAAGACTTAAAGGTCCCTTACAGGAGGAGCTATGAGCTACCACCAGCTATGGACACAGCTGTGTAGGTGGCAGTCAGCAAACTGACTTGGCAAGAGACAACTTGGAGGCTCACTGCCCCACAAGTTCAGACATTCTGAAATATGGATCATTATTTTGTTATAGATGTACCTTAGCTTAAGCATAATCCACAGATTTTTAACTCTATAACTGTTACGCAACGTCTTGCATCTGCTAAAAAGTAGGAAATGCCTGTTTCTTTCAATAACCTTTAATATGCGGTGTGTGGGGAGATGATATCTTTCTTCCTGTTGTCCCTGCTAAAGAATTGACTGAAATTGCTTTCAGTCTCTAGCTGAAAAGTTTTATTCCTAAACTGCATAATTTTTTTTATAATTGAGGGCTACTATAAAGCTCAGAGAGATTTAAACCCAAGCAATAGATTTTTAACTATACCCTCGGTCATTCCAACCCTCTTGAGCTCTTCAATCGTCACTGTTATTGGCTTTCAAACGCCTCCATTTCCTCCCATGGAAAAAAAATTCTTTGTTTTCTCTCTAGTCTGAAAGTCAAATAAATCAGGTTCATTCTCTAGCCAAATCCACTCGACTGTATGAGACAAACTGATTCAGCAATCATTTGTAAAAGAGGAAAAAGCAAATACTAGCCATTTAAGTAAATTTAGGCTGACAAATATTCCTGCTGGTAAGTGAAAGATAAATGCTCTCACCAGAGCATGTAACTGTTAGCTAGCAATTAGGAATTTCTGGTTATGAAGTCTTCCTCACCAGAAGACTTTTTCTTCAATCTAATGATTCAAAGAGGAGCATTACATAGAAAAGTAGAAATAGTGACAGATTTACTGACTCAAGAATCCTCTACCACTAATTTTCCAAACAAACATTGCAGATTTGGAAATCGTTAAGGCCTATGTGTGTTGACTCTCTCTTATGACAATTTTTTTAGAAGATGGCACCTTAAGCAGTTGTGGCCATGCCTACTCAACCGATCTACTGTAATATACATGAATACAGCTTAGATCCCTTCAACAATYTGGTTATTAAATAAAAAAGCTTTAGCTATATTCTTACTTTTAAGTTACAAAATTTATACTGAGCACAGGGGTCATCAGGGAGAAGCAAAACAGAAGCTCTTGCTCATTTCCCAGGAGTTCTGCATCTTGGATATTCCATTCTCAGAACCCGGAGCTTGCTCTTGTAAGAGGAATGTTATCAGCAGCCTACTGCATTGTGCACGGCAATGTTTTGTCCCTGTGACTGTCAGCTGTAGTTATTGCACTAAAACTGAGGAGGAAGTTACCTTCCTGACTGGTGCACTTCTTCATAACCATCAATTATCATTTGGCTCTAATATGCCAGACTGAAAACTGATGGTCAAATTTTTGATTGCCTACACATGTGGAAACCACAAACATCAACATTTAAATTCCAGCAACGTGTACAAAATCACAAGCAGAGATGATGAAGCAGAAGTGAAGTCTCTAAAGAGCAACAGGCTATAAGGAGAAAGTAACACTTAGAAAAAGGGGTAAAAATAATTTTTATTTGAGTATCCAGCATGTGCTGAGTTACCACTTAGACACATAGACGCACAAGTCTATGAGACCAGATGCAATCCACCCAAAGGTACTGAGGAAGTGGGCAGAGTCACTGAGTCATTTTCAATCATTTACCAGCAGTCCTGACTAAACAGGGAGGTCCCAGGTGACTAGAAGATAATCAGTGTGACACCTTTACACAAGAAGCACCTGAGAGAAAATCCAGGGAGCTACAGGCCTGTCAGTCTGACACTGGTGCCAGGGAAGGACACAGAGCAGATCACCTTGGGTACCATTGTGCAGAACAGGACAACCAGGGCATCAGGCCCAGCCAGCACAGCTTTGGGAAAGGCAGGACCAACCTGATCTCCTTTGGTAACAGAATGACCTGCTGAGTGGATGAGGGAAAGCCTTGGATGCTGTCTGCCTCGGCATCAACAAAGCCTTTGACCCTGTCTCCCACAGCATTCTCCTGGAGAAACTGGGTGCACTCTTTCCTGGGTAAATCTGGCTGAATAGCTGGACCAAGTGGTAATGAATGGAGTCACGTCCAGGTGACGTTGGTTGCAAGCACTTTTCCCCAGGGCTCAGTACTGGGGCCGGTCCTGTTTAACATCTTGATCGATGACTTGGACTACAGAACAAGCAGCCCTTCAGTCAGCCTGCAGATGACACCAAACAGGAGTGCTGATCTGCTGCAGGGCAGGAAGTCTCTGCAGAGGCATCTGGACAGGCTGGATTGATGGGCTGAGACCAATTGTAGGAGATTCAACAAGGTGATGTGCTGGCTCCTGCCCTTGGGTCACAAGAGTCCCGTGCAGTGCTACACGCTTGAGAAAGAGTCACTGGAAAACTGCCTGATGAAAAAGGACCTAGGGGTGCTGGTTGACAGCCAGCTGAGCATGAGCCAGGGGTGTGCCCAGGTGGCCAAGAAGGTGAATTATATCCTGCCTGATCCTGATCCATATCACCTATTTTCTTGTGTGCTGAAGTGCACATACTTCCTTCCATGGGACACATATAGCCCATGCTGTGAATTTCAGCATGGCATGAGCATTCCTGAAGCCTTTAAAAGTCCCCTTTTTAAACCCTTCCTGAGCATCCTTGGACTTTCTCCCCTCAAGCTTTCCAATTCTCTGCAAAGCTCCCCTATATAATTTTTTCACAACGGTATTAAAAGAGATTTATCTTAGTAGTCGATGGACATATCCAGTATGCTGTTGGAAAGCATTCTTCCTGATAAATGTGGTCACCTGGTAATTCATCCACATGGAGTTGGGCATGTAGTTAGGGAAGTCCACCACAGGTTTTATAAATTTATGACCAGCTTTCTTGTGGCAAGAAAAATATAGGGACATCCTGATGATATGCTAAAGTTTGTTAGATCAATGACGATAGTAGATGTACTGGAGTGCAAATGTTTCCAGATGCTGCTGCAGCTTTTAAGGTGAAGTATGCTATTGATCTAGGAATCGGGAGAGAGACATAAGGAGGAAAAAAGGCTAAAAAAGAATCATCTACTGTCATCAAGATGTCAGGAATTCAAATGTTCAGCTTCTGATCATATCCATTTGGGAGACTAGTGTATTCATACAGCACCAGACACAGCCACAAACAGCCACCCCACTCTGAAGAAATTGTTATACTCCATTATGAAAAAGCTGTGTTATGATAAGCTGCATCAGATGGCTGGACTTGAGTGGGGTGAGAATGGGCTGCACCTGCAGACAGAGGGGGGAACCATGTTTTAAGCAGCTTTATGTGGGACTGGACTGGACTTTCCACTGTGACTGTGTTCAAAGAGCCACAGGGATTCTGCATGAGACCTTCTATGCTGTGCCACAAGCCATCCTGTGAAATATCTGGGTCTGCATCACACAGGTGATTCTCATATCCTTTCTCAAAGCAGGAATCACCAAATTACTATGAAGCTCCACAGAACCATGTGAACTGCTCAACTTTAGGCAGAGACTTGAGGACTGGAAAGGATTCAAATATTTGTATACATGAAGGGTGAACAGGATGTCTAAAGCTCTTTGATTAAACCAGCTTAATAGTGACCTGGACCTACTGAGAGCTGTACCCATACCTAGGAAGCACTTTTTATAATTTCACATTCAGTTAGCTAATGTGTCCCACTGAAAAATAATCACCTTGGCAAGGCACTTGGCAAGGCAAGGCACTTCACTTTACCGTAAATCAATTTCTTTCTTGATCTTTCTGGTCCTGTGTCACAGGAGAGCTAGTGTTCCACTTCTATGATGTATACTTGGAAGCGTTTATACTAGGAAGGATAGAACCTAGGACAAAAAGAAATGTTTAATGGTGAGTGAAAGTCCCCAAAGTAGCTATTTCTTTTGGATGAGATACTTGTACACTTTTGTGGGATAATTGTCCGAAGACAGTATTAGACACCTCAAGACAGATATTGTAGATATTGACACTGAAAGTGTCTGGACTATATTACTCTTTATAATCACCAAACCTACTCATAAATCTTTCCCTGGTTCCTCCATTTCTCCATCATCTGATACTGCATAGTATGTTTCCTTTTTCTCTAAGAGAAACAAGATCTGAAAACACAGGGACAAGTGAGAGGTTATTAAGGGCAAGGTCCAGTCATCCCATGAACTATTTGCAATATAAAGTCCTGTGGAGTTTGAGCTTTCCCTGAACCCACTGGCCTCTGGGGATTTGGCAGGAAGCAAGAGGAAGTCTTTGCCCCAGCAGGGAGAAAACTGCGCTATTTTGTTTCAGAGACAACACAGCCATAGTGCTTGAGAACTTACATTTAAGGTTCTCTGGTTTCTAAGTCAAGTAGACCCCTATTGCCATGTACCCAAAAAGGAGTGAACAATCTCTCCCATGCAAAGAAACAGCAAAGAAACAACTCAGACACATCAAACTGAAATTTCAGTGTTTGCGTGGATCTCCTCTACCATTCTGGCTCTACTACTTCTTGTGCCTCTACCTCTCAGCTAGATGAGGACGAAGAATTTACTGATCTTTCATTCATCCTGTTTGATCAAAGGTTTCCAAGCTTTTCTAGGTCAACAAAAGGGAAAAGGCTGCAGTCTATTGTTGCAGAACACTACTCTGAAATGGTTTGCATATCACCACAAGGACATATAGTTTAGGAACTTTTGAACTGCAGAAAGGAGGAGATAAATTCTGTATTCTTAGGTCTAACGATTTAATGAACAAATATGTTACCTCCACCTTGAACCCTACCAGTCAAATCATCATCACTCATTCAGCATGCCATTTTTGTCCTAGGTAACATTTTGTAAGTATTTCAATTTTAAAGACTCTGCAAGATAAAAAAAAAAAAAAAAAGGATTAAGAGCATCCTTGGAATTTTGCAGGGTTGGTGGGCAGGTAAATAGGACCTGGGATTCTAAGATGTCTTCAAAACATCACAAATAATAATTGCTCCTTCTAAGAGGAAGAATGGTTCAGAGCATCAGAAATTATTTATTTTCCTGAGCTCAGGCAAGAGGTAAAAATTATGCCAGCTTAGCATTTCACAGATGAAAAGTAGCTCCCACTTTACTTGCAAGTCATTCTTGAGAAAGAAAATAGTACATTCTATGAAGGAGGGGAAAACACTGACTATTACAAAGAAATATTATATATTGACCATCCTATCTATCACCTAATCCATCAAGAAAATGAAACAAAAGTGAAGGATGAAAAGAAAATAAAAGGTGCTATTGAAACTATTAAATATAGTTCAGTTACAGTAGTCTGATTTTCAGTTTGGTACCATTTTACCTCCTATTTATATCTTCCTAACTCTTCATATAACAGTATTACTTCAAACTTTTAAATGCATAACAAAGCTGTCTGTATCTAGGAGACGAATGTGATAGTTTTGGCTGGAATAGAGTTAATTTCTTCATAGGTCTGGCTCAAGGTTATGTATAAGTATACAAAACTTAAAAAAAAAAAAATAAAAAATTCTTTTGTAAAGAATTCTAAAAAATTCTGAAAATTGTTTTTCTCCTGACAAAGTTATTTAATTGTACTAAACTTCAGTGCCTATTCACAAGCTATGGGAACAACACAAGTTGCCCATTTCTTGAACAGTTTGGGTCAGTACAGTTAGTAACTGGTGTCCAGAAGTGAATGGCCATGTCAATTTGCCATACCTGGGAAGGAAGAAATCAGTTCTGTTGCAGAAACAGAACTGACAGCTGGAAGGCAGGAGTGGCCACCATTTCATCCATATATACCCACAGTCTTGATATTTGCCACCCTTTGCAGAATTTTGCTCTAGGCAGAAGGATTTTCTATTTAAATTATTAAGTAGTTGTACAATTCCTGTCTGCACCACTGGAAAAAATGAGGAGGCTTACTCACAAGGCATGGGCAGGTTTCCTGTGATCCACTCGCTGAATTCAAACAGACATTATAAATCAGGCCAAGCGCCCTGTTAAATAATGCACACCTCAAAACCAATACCACACTTAGTCTTCCTCAAGAAACTTGTTTCAAATATTTCTCCCTTCTTCCTGTCTCTTCCCTAGTTTCCTCATGTTTGATTTCTGCTATACAGGATGTTTGCACAGCATTCTCTTTTCATCTGGATGTATACAATGATGTGAAAAGAAGGAAAACTCATGTCCATTTAATACATTGATTGCAGCGAGACCTTTGGTAAGTTTTGCTTGCCACTGCACCAACATGTGGAATTCCCAGCAATTCTTCAAGGATGATTCAGCTTCAGTCTCAAGCAATTGTGCAGCATCAGCACTTTCTGGTCTTTTTGAATGTGAATGTGTCCACAATTTTCAGTGGCATGTTTGGTCACAGGTCAGTTTGGTCAGTTTATAACTCATAGGACAAGGAGGAATATTAAAATAATTTGTAGGTCCTCAGCTCTGAGTGAGATTCTAGGAAATGCAGAAGAAAAAGAAAGCTTTCCTAGGTGGTACGGGAACCCAAGGCTGATCAGCCAGAGGTACTAGCCTTCAAGGTGCTGAAGAAATTTAGCCAGAGCTGTTACACTGTGCTGCACCAGAGCCAACCTGGACAAGCTGCCTCTGCCACAGGACTTACTGACAATTTATTACTGACTATGGAGACAAGCATCAGTGTTTCCATTGACACCTGTGAGGGCTTCTCAGTGAAAATAATGAAACTAAAGACCACAAAGGGACATGCAGAGGAATGGGGAACTGGGGTTTTGTTTGGGCCATAAAGGTTCCTACCTGTTGTTCCTGCCTCTATACACTGTTCCTGTGTGGCGTTTCTCACATAGGACAAATGTAGGCCATTCCTACAGAGCACAGTTCTTCAGGAACAGACTGTTACAGTGTGTGTCTCCCATGAGCCACATCTGGTCCATCATAGTCTTCTGTAAGGGGTTCAAGGGAATCTCTACCTCAGCATCTGGAGCACTTCCTTCTTCACTGATCTTGGTGTCTGCAGGGCTGCTGCTCACACATTTTGAATTACCTCCTCTGCTTTTGTGGCATTTTCCTCCTTTCTTCAGGTGCCTGGGGGCGCTCAGCAGTGCTCTGTGGTGTGTCTGGCATGGAGTAGCTCTGGCTTTCTTTACAAAGGTCTCCCTGCAGCCTCTTCACTGAAACTGTGTCACATAAGCCTTTTTCACAAGTGAAAAACACTACAGATTGGATCTGGGTTTCTCCAGTGAGTAAATAAGGAGCTCTTGCTAACCCGAGAGGCAGAAAACCTGGAGACAGGTTGGGAGTACACCGGAGCCTCTACCACTGATGGGAAACAAGACAGAAGGAAAAGAGTGGACAGAAGACTAAGGATGAAGGACCAAATTATAAGGACTGCAAAAAAAAGCAGAGAAATGGAGGAGTGTCTAATTAATGGCTGCTGGAAGTGAGGAAGAATGGCCAGGGAGCAAAGCAATGGGCTGTGTGAGAGGAGTGAAGGAAGGCTGGGAGATATGCACCCTGAGATCTATTAGGCAAACTAAGTAGGGAAAACATAAGCACAAACTAATACTAAGGGAGAGAAGAATAGTGCAGAGAATGGGGGAAGAAGTGTAAAGAAGTGTACACAAACTTTCAATGTCTGTAGGAGGGGAGAAAGAGGAGGAGGAGATAAAGTGGAGAAGACAGTACATAAAGTTTGGATTTTCTTTTTCCTTAAGTTTTACAGAAAATGTAATTACTGTATGTAAAAGCCAATTCCCCATTTATCATTTTCAGATTTCCATTCTTTGAACGGACTTCTTTTTTGCATGAAACTTGAAAGCATTGGTAGGCAAAACAAAATGGGTGTTCCCCCTTCTGTGTGGTGTGTGATCTGTGACTGAGCCCAGAAGGTTATATGGCAGTGTATCAAGATTACGTGTCATCACCTAAAGCCACCTGGCTTATTAGATTGATTGTATTTTCAAATTGATGCTAGTGCATTCCTATTTTACTTTCAAAACAAGGTGTGTTGATCTAAGGTATAGTTGAAGCTGTGAATTTGCATCAGGTTTTGAAAAGACATTTGAATGGAGGCTTTCTTCTAAAATACAGCTTCTATAAAGCCCAGGAATTTCTGGGTTGATTTTTTTTACACTTCTTTTTAACAGCTTTAGTTAAGGAATTGCTAATTTGGGGCAGTTAGCATTTACCAGCAACATGTACTAACACCTGCAACCTTTTCAGGCTTATAACTTTTTACAGTAGTTAATATAGAGAATTCTAATATTTTAATAAAGTCTACTAACTGCCTTCTCTTAGTCCTCTTCACATCTACAGTACTTGCCCCATTCTGTAACTGCACACCTGGATAGTTCTTCTACACAACTGTAGAAGAACTATTTCCTTCAAAACCAAAGAAATAAATCAATTTTCTGAGTGAAAAAAGGACAAGTAATCAGGAGATCTGTAATTGCATTATCTAAAAGTCCTCATGTATTGGCCACAAAGGAGCTTCCTGCAATGATGGAGTCACTGAGTCTAACAAAGGAAGTGAAGGCCTGGCTCCTGTACCCCTTCTTCCTCCCAGCTTTAGTAAAGTCTGCATCTCTTTCCATCAAGAGCTCTACAGTGATGTACTGTCTTGTGACCCAACCACCTGCTATCACAAACCTTGTGACAACTAGAGACTGAGGTCACCACTTTATTGCTGGATGTCTTGGAGATTGGCAAAGGAAAGCAAAGATTTGGAGGAGGCAGACATAAGCCATTTTTCTTAGGAAAACAAAGACCAAAATGAGAAGGCTACAGCTTAATGTAAGACATGCTATTATTTCAATCAGACATTTCCATGAAGGAGCAAATCTGAATCACAGTTTTGTGGCACACATGGCAGTCATCCACTGATT